CATTTAAATACAGGTACTCGGAATGGACCGTAATCGACCTCCCATATGTCTTCAATAACTCCGAAATAGCACATGGACACTTTGATAGGGTTCTTATCATTTTTGGTTGAGAAATGCATAGATTGAGCAACTATCATAATCCCACTATTTTGCATGGTACTTTTGTCATCTTGTGCCTTTGTATAAAATGAGTAATTGTTAATGTCATATCCATAAAAAGTAAACACATCAGAGTTAGGTCCTTGAGCTAGGCGTTGTAAAGTTTCAGAAACATTTAAATCTGTCCCAACATTCTTTTTGAACCACTCGGTGAAAGTCTTGTTATGTTCTTTCAACACCCATTTTTCAGGCATTCGAGGGTTGTTTGTCTTCACTAAGTCTTTATGGGCATTTAAATAAGGAAGAACCTCATCGGTGTTGTTCAATATATACAAATGTGCTTGAAGCACTTCTTCTCATGGCATGCTCTTCAATTTTGTGCCTATCGTACCCTTCCCAGCAATTCGTTCCTCATGACGAGTCTTAGGAATGCCTATTGATTCAGCTTGGGACATGTATTCAGAACAAAACTCAATTACTTCCTCTGTAATATACCTTTTTATAATGGATGCTTCTGGACGATGTTGGTTCTTCACATACCCTTTTAATATCTTCATGTATCGCTCAATTGGGTACATCCATCTCAAAAAGACAGGACCACACAACCTAACCTCTCTGACCAAGTGGATGATTAAGTGAACCATAATGTCAAAAAATGAAGGAGGAAAATACCTCTCCAATTGACACAATATTAGAATAGCTTCATTTTCCAACTCATCTAACTTATGTGGATCAATTACTTTGCTGCATATGCCATTGAAAAACAAGCAAAGCCTAGTTATGACTTGTCTCATCTAACTTATAGTTTAAGTTAATCTTTTTTATATACAATTTAGTAACACAATCAATTATGCGATAAAAGAGATTGACATGAAAAATAATCTATACTTTTATATATAAAAGAGAGATTCTATATTTTTATATCCACACTAGTGCAAAAATTAGTTTTAAAATCGGGGTTTTAAGATTGGTTAAAAAAGGTGACCGATCTTAAAAGTCACGCAGTGGCAATTTTGTAAATAATGTGAACACTTTTAAGATCGGTTAAATTTTAACCGATTTTAAAAGTACTTTTAAGATCGGTTATTTTAAGATCGTTTATTTTATGACTGATCTTAAAAGGTATGTCTAACACAACTTTTAAGATCGGTTACAAAGGAACCGATCTTAAAAGTTGTATCAGACATAACTTTTAAGATTGGTCATAAAATAACCGATCTTAAAAGTACTTTTAAAATCGGTTATTTTATGACCGATTTTAAAAGTGCTACTCTTAAAATCAGTTCTTAAATAACCGAGTTTAAAAGTGCTACGTTTAAAATCGGTTATTTAAGAACCGATTTTGTATGTAGTATACAAAATCGATTCTTAAATAACCGATTTTAAAAGTATCGTCAGAATCCTTTTATATTTTCCTCCATTCTCATTCTCTTTGATCTTTCGACCATTCCTTTTTTTATTCTCTCGCGCTCTCATTTTCTAAAGTCTCCCATAAGGTAAATTTCATTGTCGTTTTAGTTTTCGTCTTCTCATACTCTTCTCGTGTCTCTTTTCGTCTTCTCATGCTCTTTTCGTGTCTCTAGTTTCATTGTAGGTTCATTTTGGGTAAATTTTGAATCTGGAACGGCCCGTTCTACAAGGAGAACGACGCGTTCTACAAGGAGAATGACCCGTTTTGCAACCAGAACGGCCCGTTTTGGATTGGTTTTAACTCATGCCAAACTATGCTAGAACGGCCCGTTCCAAACTACAAATTTAAGCCTTTTTAACAACCTGGAACGGCCCGTTCCAGTTTTGGAATGACCCGTTCTAGTTTAATTTTTACAAAGTCAAGACTTTTAAGATCGGTTGTAAAACAACCGATCTTAAAAGTATAACTTTTAAAATTGGTTCTTTTAAAATCGGTTACAGAACCGATTTTAAAAGTTAAAAATAATCAATTTTAAAAGCTTTTTTTTTCACTAATGTTACTAGCAAATCCCCTATTATACACATGTTGATCTCTCCTTGTCCACATTCCTGCTAACCACTTGGATAATAAATTATATCATACCCAATGTCTCCAAAGTCATTCTCTGTATTACCTTCCAAATATTATGATAAAAGGCTATTTTTCACCTTTTAAGCATGTGAAAATGACTACAAGAAGCCACAACCTACAAGTCATACAAATGAAATTTTGAAATTTTGAATGGTAACTAACCAATCCCCACTCTCACCCCCAATTTCTAGTTACAAAATTGAATTATAAAAGTCGGTGCACCACCAAACAACATCAAAGTTCAAAAGTTACTAAAACAAAGACTTCAAATATGATAAAAGAGATTGACATGAAAAATAATCTATACTTATATATATAAATGACAGATCCTATATTTTTATATATCCACTATAATTGAAACAATTTTAACCTTTTAAATAAAATAAAAAACAATTAAATAAAAGTTATGAAAGATTAAAAAAATCGTGTAGTATATAATAAATGCATACTATTCTATTAATTTGGATAGTTAAACAAAGTACAAAGTAATTTTTCATTTTCTAGTTAAAAAATCGTTGATGCTACCTTAATGTCACATTAAAAACACGTTAATGTCAAATTATTTGCTAACAATGAAATTAACTATTTAATGGTTTTAGGTGCTGCTACTAAAAAAAATTCATTTAACTTAGACAAAATATATGTTTGAAAAATCAACAAGTCAAATCAGACAAAATATATGTTTGAAAAATCAACAAGTCAAATCATAAGAACACCAATACCTCTATATTCAACTTCGACGAAACACCAATAGTTGTCCCATACCCTCTTACCAGTCATCGTGACATCACTACGCCAAAATTAATTTTTTTATAATTCATTTATTATTTAATTGTTATATAAATGATCATTATTTTTTTTACCAGCATTTAAATAAAGATTGGTGTATCTAGTATCGCTAATATTATTACCGACATTTATATAAAATGCTGGTAAAGATCTACTAAATTGTCAGAAAAACTTATTTTTTTAGTAGTAATTCTAGTAATCATTTTAAAGACTATTAAAAGTTATTTTTTTCAATTATCTCCTTTACTTTCCTATAATTTCCTTTTCTAAATTCATAACTTATATACTTTTTTTTATTTCACGTGAGATTTGTAAGATGAAGATTATCTTTTATTTATATATTTATTTATTTTTTTAATTATCTTGTCTCTTAAGAAATGTGAGATTTATAAGGTGAAATTTGCTCTCTAATTGTTTTATAACACTATTGAATTTGGTAATAATGGGTGATTTGATACCAATTTAGAATAGTGAATTAGGAGTCAACCCTATAAAATGAACATATAAGGTGATAGTTATTACTCACTTATATACTATTTAATTATCTTATCTCCAATCGATGTAGAACTTAAATTTTTTCTAATAAATAATTGTCGTTAATAATAAACTTTAATATAATATAAATATATTTTTAATGATTATTATATATTAGTTATTAATATTTTTATATATAATAATAATTAAATTATTACCATTAAATAATTATCGTTAATAATAAATTTTGTTATAATGCATGGAAGTTTAGCGTAGAACAAAAGAAAATCAGCTTATAGAATTTAAAACAAACTTTCATTCTCATCAGCATCCATTACAAACGGATCTTAAACATTAAATTTGCACATTTACCGAGGATATATAAGTTAAACAGCATGAGAGACATTTCCATCATGGAAGGGCAAACTAACATAGTCTTTCCCAAACTCCTCAACAATCTCACCGTGATTCGCCTTGCAATATATGTACAAGACCGTGTTCACTGCAAGGTTAGAGGGCATAATAACCGAGGCAGTGGCCCAAGATTGACACACAACGTACACCCAATTAAACACCACAGAAAACCAATTGTCTCCATCAGAATCCTTGGTCACATAAAATAAGCACATGAACACCATGGCCCACGTGAAGAACCCATAGAAGATCATGGAAGATAGAGCCACTCCTTTCATTCCCTTGATCAACCTCGTACTTCTTCTTAGGGGCTCCAAACCCCAACATGATTCCACGACCACAATCACAGGTACCAAGGTCCACTTAACTTGCAAATAAGTCATCACAAGAAGCAAAGGAAGTGCGACAAAGAACGCAATTAAGTAAAGGGGAAGAGAGTATGGAATTGTTACATGGAGAAACGCAGCCCCGTGAGTGAGAAGAAGCAAGAGAAGGCCATAGAAAAGTGAGATGAAAAAGAAAATGAGCTGGGAAACGATGGTGGTGGCGAGGAGGGGTAAGAAGGAGGTGGAGATGGAGTTGATAGCTGAAAGAAGGTTGACGGGTTGGTCGTAGAAGAAGTGGAAAACGCTGTAGGTGATGCTAATGACTCCAGAGTAGGAAAAGAGCGAAAGGAAAAGGGAATAGAGGAGAGTGAAGAAGAGTGAGGTGTGGTGTTGTTGAAAATGGTTGGAGAGAGTGGGATAGAGGATGAGGGAGAAGGAGAAGGGGAAGAGGAAGATGGAGGAGAGGGTGTAGAAGTGACGACGGTGTGCTTTGATGATGCGATAAGATTCAGAAATGAAGTCCAAGAGATTTTTGGAGGCCATGTTGGGGAAAGTGGATTTGCAGGGATAGATCCTCTACATTTCATTTAATTATATAAAGAAATTGGTGTGTAGTGTGTGTTGAGAAATTATTTTATAATTTAAAATTTAAATTAAATATTTCATTTGATTAATCTTTGTTTTTTTTAATATTATCGTTTCAAGAGTAAAATTGTTATGGATTTATTTTGAGTTTTGACCAAGTTTCCATTTTTTCAAATTGGGTAATATTGACTAAGTTTACAATGTTCTACTTTTATTCGTTAGTCTTTGTTATTTTCGGAAAATGAGCAAAACCTAGTGCACATCACTTCATCTTGCATTAAAAGTCTCTAATATCGTTCCTATATATATACATTGGTACGTGAGGAAAAATATAGATAGATACACAATAAGTATACTTACTTTTCCTTTAAAATTATTTTTACTATTAAAATATATTTTGAAGCAGTGTTCTTTGGTTCGAGGATCTTTTGCTGCACTCAAACAATGTAACGAGTTGACATATCTTAGAAGAGGAGCGTACTATAAGAATCAAAATTATCAGTGCAATAAGAGTGTTTTCTCTCTAAGGATAGTACTCTACGTGCTTCAATCTAGATTACTCTAACCTTGTTATTTGTTATTTTAATTTACTCTTTGTGTTTAATTAGTTGTTACTAATTACTTTATTTTTAATTTTGAAGTATTTATTGTGTTGTTTATATTGGCTTTCTTGATAAAAAAAATTAATTATTCTTTTTTGTGCTCGATTAAATTTAATTTAATTTGTTTTTTTTTCAACAATCTTAGAGAGAAAACTTATTTTCTTGTTTAATATCAACATGTCTACAATTGATATTTTAAAGTCTTTAAGCAGTAAGTCAGAAAAATTTAATGGTAAAATTTTTTTATGCTGACAACAATAAATAAAATTTTGGCTTACAGAGTTACGTTTTTTTCTTTTATTTTAAATGGAAAATCTAAAAAAAGTTCTAATGGTGCTTTGGTTAAAATAAACTCTTTTGGTATTACTTCTAGTGATAAAGATATTTTGTGTCATGGTTGTATTTTGAGTGCTCTATTTGATAATATTTATGAAATATTTTGTCATACAAAAAACTACTTTGGAGTCATGGGATGCTCTTGAACTAAAATATAGTTTTGCTGTAAAGGGTTTAAGAAGATACTCTTGTGAAAGAATGAATTATTTTCAAATGGAAGATGGAAAACCTTTTTCTAACCAAAATCATGAATTTGAAAATATTATTTATGATATGAAGATGAAAGAAAATACTTTGTCTGACATAATGCTTGTTAGTTTTTTAATTTCTAAATTGTCTCCTTCTTGGTCTGAATTTGCAAGAAGCCTCAAGCATAAACTTGATCATTTCACTTTATCTGATTTATTGGTTTCTTTGCGAATTGAAGATAAGCATCGTATTTCAAAAAAGGATTCTCATAAACCTTTCAGGCTAAGGCTCACTTAGTGAAAAATTATAATAAACCTAAACAAAAAATTTTCAAAAAATCTGGTTTTCCAATAATAAGTTTGGTAATAAATTTGGTCAAAGCTCCCATTTTCAAGGCTTTTAATAACAACTACAAATCAAAGAGTAAAATTCAAGGAAATGAATCCTTTTTCTTTTTCTGTGGTAAAAGTAATCATTTTGCTAAGGATTGTTTTCATCATCATCATCGACCAAAAGACACTACATCTGATCTCAATGTTATTACCGCTAATGCTAGCTCGAATTCCCCATCTAATAAGCATAATGTCACTAGCCCAGGGTTAATTTTTATTTATAACTCAAATGATTGGTGGATTGACTCTGGAGCTAATGTCATGTTTGTGCTAATAAAAAATTATTCTCTTCATATCAGGAATGTGACACATGTACTATAAGCATGGGGAATGGGAGCCTAGCACGCGTCATTGGCCTAGGCCGACTAGAATTAGAATGATCTTCAGGAAATTGCCTTGTCTTAGATGAAGTCTTTCATGTTTATGAAATTAGAAAAAAATTGATTAGTGTTGCTTAGTTAGTTTGACAAGGTTTTAAAGTTGTTTTTGAATCCAATAGAGTTGTAATTTCTAGACATGGTTCTGTTGTTGGAAAAGGGTGTATTTGTGATGGCTTGTTTAAACTTAATCTCATGTAAACATTCTAGCATTTCTTCATTTATTTCAAATGTTGAATGTTGTGACACTTGGCATGGTAGACTTGGACATGTTAATTTAAATTCTATTAAAAGAATGATAACTCTTGATCTGATTCCTAAATCTTTTAATGAATTGAAACAAAAATGTGAAATTTGTGTTCAAGCTAAACAACCTAGAAAATATTTTCAAAATTCTGTTCAATAGGAAGCATGCTTGCTTGAACTCATTCATAGTGATATATAGCAATGGTGTTATTACTCGTGGTGGAAAGAAATACTTTCTTGGACTAATTGACGAATTCTCCAAATATTGCTATGTATACTTGATCATTCATAAAAGTGAGTTATTTGATAAATTCAAAGTTTATAAAGCAGGAGTTGAAAATCAATTAAAAAGGAATATTAAAATTCTTCATTTTGACAGAGGAGGAGAATATTATTCTAATGAAATGGGTGAATTTTTTTGAATCACGTGGCATTATTCATAAAGTCACTCCACCCTATGCTCCTCAATCTAATGAAATTGCTGAAAGAAAAAAATCATATTCTATTAGACATGATAAATGCTATGCTTATAAGTTCTGGTTTGCCTAATAATTTGTGGGGGAAAGCTTTGTTTCACATTTTGAATATAATTTCTTATAAAAATTTAGATAAAACCCCTTATGAACTTTGGAAAAATAGAAAACTAAATTTAAAATATCTCAAAGTATATATGGGGGTGTCTTGCAAAGGTGAATATTCCTATTAATAAGAGAAAAAAAAAAATTGGTCCCAAGACCATTGATTGTGTTTTTTTGGGATATTCTTTATATAGTACTACTTATAGATTTTTAGTTATTAATTCTAAAGTTACTGAAATTTCTATAATATAATTATGGAATCTAGAGATGTTGTTTTCTTTGAAAATGTACTATCCGTACCGCAAAGCCGAGCTCCGAGCTCGGCACCACAACGCAAGCCGACCTCAGACGCGCACTGCGTGGCATCAGCCCGACGTTTAAGTGAATCACAACTGATTCCCGAGGATCTCGCCCCGGACGAGATCCACTATCTAATCTTATCATATCATATCTCAGGCCCTAGGCCCAAAGCAACCCTAATTCACACTAAGGTACGTGCATTACATATACGAGATTCGTACTCCCACAAAAACTAACTTTAGCATCGGAGTCTCTTTTGCAGGTACCACCCCCATCTTGGAGCACCAGCGTACCAGTGAAGGAGGCTCACCGATCTTACCTGGCGGATCAGCTCTACAGCAGATTTCTGGTAAGAACATTTGGAGCCCACCGTGGGGCCGATCAAGACAGCTCTTATCGGCCACGCCTTTGGTTTTTACCAGAAGCCATAGTAGACGCACGACAGACGACGCAAACCACTCAACTACCATGGATAACAAAGCAGCGTTGAGGAGACTGATCGATCAGGTCGAAAAGATGTGGCAGCAACACGCCGCCGACCTACAAAACATGCGTGCCAAGCACGACACTGACCTAGCAGCAATGCGTGCCACTAGCGAAGCCGACCTGGCGGTACTACGCACCGAGAACGAGCTAATCCGCGCTCAACTCCCTCGACACCACTCCGATCATCCTGATTTTATAAAAAAACAAATCATTCAAAAATACCTCATTTGAGTGTTTAACTAAAAAAAGTGTATTATGATAAAATATTTATCTTTAAAAAGAATATTTTTCATAATAATAAAATATATTTAATTAACATTTTATTTGTGTCTAGTGCTTGGCCACCTCCAAGGTTGTCACTCTGCCCATGTCACTTGGTTGTGGAAATTAAAACATAGATGGAAATTGTGTTTTTGGTGTCTAACCAATGCATGTTAGCCATGTGTTGAAAACCCAAAGAAAAGGGAGATATGACAACTATGTTTTCCTGACCATTACGTTTTATGCACAATGTGCATCAGATTGTGCAGGCCAACCTTGTGTTGATACTCCTTTGAAAATAAACTACAAAGTGATGCTACTAAACTATCAAATGTCTCACCTCACTCTATGCCTATATACACGATCACAAGGCATTTTCTCCACATATATACATCTTGTCCTTTATAACTAGTAATTACTTTGTGGATATTGACTTGGCCATTAGGGTTTCTACATATAGCACCCCCATTATTGACATTTTTGAAGTTGCAACTCTATTTTTAACCCCAATCATAGTCTACAGTAGTAAGAGAAAAACAATTACGTCTTTCACCTACACATAAACCTTGCCTGACAAGTTCAATGGTTTCAAAGTAGTGATTATAATCTTGACTAGCTTTAATTATTTGTGTTGTGTTGTTTTATTTGAATATGTCTTTTGATTTTTATATAAAAGTGATCTTTTGTCGATATAGTTATCAATCGATATCTTCAAACTATAAATTCAAGACTTATCACTTCCAATAAAGTTTTTACCATAACAATTTCAACTACACAAATAATATATTATATGTATAAACATAGTTTTGATAAATGTAATATTACTTTTTTTTAGTGTTGATTCTTATAAAATTTTTGAATTTTTAAATTTTCCTAGTTATTTTTTTATTTATATTTTGGTCCAACTTATTTGGTTTTAGTTGTAATATTATTCACGTTTTTTGCCTTTTGTCCTTTTAATATACAACTAAATTACTTTTAGTTCCTACCAATTTTTTTTTCCAAAGTGACTAACTTAAAATGAACAAAATGTAATAGTGTGATAAATGGAAAAAAATAATGTATTATAAATTTTAAAATAAGAAGAGTGATGAAAAGAAAAATAAAAAATTTACGAGACCAAAAATAAAATAAAAATAGTATAATTTAGGTACACGAAACACATTGCCAACCTTGTGTTGATACTCCTTTGAAAATAAACTACAAAGTGATGCTACTAAACTATCAAA